AGGAGGAGGAGGAGGAGGAGGAGGGTGGTCATCCCCGTTGCTCGCTATACAGCGGAAGCTCGCTCGCCATGACTTAGACCGTGGCGCGCAAGACGGGGCTGGGCGGCGCCGAGCTTCGGCAACCGACTGGGGGGGGGGCGTGGCTCGGGAACCAAGCGCACGGCGGGGGCAGTCGTCCTCCGGTTTTGGTAGCAGGCAGCTCATGTCGGGCCCCTGGATGAGAAAGCCGTCCTGCGGAAGAGGTCGAGAACTCTGGAGGCCCACGTTTGGGAAACGGCACGACGTCGAATGTGTGGGGAAGAGGGGAAGGAGGGGGAGGGGCAGCAGTAGGGTGGGCCGGAGGGTGGGGTGGAGGAGGTGGGGCAGGAGGGGGAGGAGGATTGGGAGGACGATGATGCAGCGCAAGAGGATGATGCAGGGTTCACACCAATTCAGTCGCGCATGGCGCCAGCTCTCAAACAACGGCGGCAAGTGGACAGTTAAAGTGGATCCGGATGCTGTGTGCTCCCCTCAGGGCGGGCCGGCCGAGAGAGAATGCGGTAAGCGGTAAGCTAGTGATCTTTGTGATGAGAGTTGCGGACGTGGACTCTTCATGCTTTGGACTGCTCAGTGTCTGTGTGTGTCTGTGTGTGTGTGTGCGTATACCTCTGGCAAGGAAGGCATGCTTATTTTTCTCCACATGCAGGCCTGGGACAGCGATACATCGCTCCAGGGCGTCCAGGACGCTCTCGCAGTGTTCTGGAGCGCTCTGGAGAGGCCGCGGCGCCAGACGGATCCCCCGGATTCGCTGGCTTCTCGCAGGCTCATGATGCATCCCGACCTCGTGGTTAGTGTCTTCGTTCCGATTTCGCCCCGTGTTCAGGGGCGGCCTGATCCAGCCCTAGCGAACCATCCCCTTCCGTGATGTCCCCCTCGCCTCACTCCACGACGTATGCATGCGGTCGGAGGGAAGCTTGAAAGGCTGCCACTGGGAGTAATACCAAGACGTGGTTAGATGTCGCTCGAGACCAGACACTCTGGAACAAGTGGGACAACGGCTACCTTGCACACGCACACACCCGATCGGGCCCCGCCCCGACCCGCCCGCGCCGCTCCTGAGGGGCCCGCCTGCCGCCGGACACGCGCGTCTCATCTTCGTCTCATCGACGTCACCGGGAGGGACGGTCTGCTCAGGGTCGGTCAGGCCGCGCCCGGTAGGTTCACGAAGAAGCTCGCGCAGAAGGCCGAAGGCCCATGGGGGCGCCAAGTATCCACCTCACCGATCCTGGCCAGGCCGATCCCGGGCCCGGGGCACGAGGTACGGGTAAGTCGGGCCTGTCCCTCTACGGGGGAAGTATTCAGAAATAGTCCAAAAATAATCCGGGGACTATTTTTGGACATTTTTTGAGCATCTTTAGGGCATTTTTGGGGTATTTTTCATTTTTCGTCCAAAATCGGCGGGGACAGGCCCGACTCAAGGGTACGGGGTGCGTGCTTGCTCGGCCAAGCCAGGATGGCGCATGCACCGATCCTTGCCCCATGACGGGCCCTGGCCGGCACCGGTGAGAGGTGGGTATAGCCGACGCCCCCCCGAGGCGTGGCGCCCTTCCCCTGTGCTCTCACCTCCTCGGACGGGGCCAGGGCGAGGAGGAGTCCGCTCGGAGAATGCCGCGGCGCGCGACACAGCCTCCAGAGCCGCCAGATCTCACCTGGCCGAAGACGGACTGCAAACCTCCTCGTGGTGGCCGGGGGTATCATGATGCTGGCAGGTTTTGTCGAAGGCCGTCTTGCCCCATAGGCGGCGGAGGGCATCGAGGCCAAGGAGGTAGAGGGGGCCTCCAGCAGACCCTGTCGCCGGCGGCCAGAGGAGGGCCTGCCGCGGAGACTCCGGGTTTGGGATCCCAGGCCTTTGGGGGAGGGGCCGGGCGACGCGCCGGGCTCCTTTGCGCGCGGGGCTCCTTGACGCTTCGTGCCTTCCTCCCTGCGCCCCAATCTAAATTGGTTGTGCAGCGATCTGCCGACGCCTGGTTGCTGGCTCCCCTGCCGGCGGGGGGAGCCTGGGCATAAGGCGCGCGGATTCCCGCCGGAGTGGTGCGGCTCGCGCAGGGGATGCGGCTGCGGAGGAGGGTGTCCCGTATTGCGGGGGGTTCGGTTCCTCGTCGACTCCTTCTTCGGGGGGCTCGTCCAAAGCTGGTTTGTGTAGCTTAATTGCCGATGTCACCGAAGCGTGTCCCTTACATGACTTTTCAGTGTGACAACTGCTATTCCTGACTGCGGTTGGCGACTTGGGCACCGCCTTCGACTCGGGAGTGGACTTTTTTCCCCCCTGGCACACAGACGGGGGCCAGGACCATTGCGGCGGCCAGTAGTCTCCTCCTCGGCTGCTGGTCGCCCTGCCTGGCTTTTTCACAGTTGGTTCCACCCTGGAGCTGCCACGAGGCGGCTCAAGGGTGGCATTGTCTTAACCCCTAGCTCCTTTCTCGGCCTCCCGCCGAGGGCGTCTACGGCATAGGCACCGTGT